TTCCCCAGCCAGCCATGCTGGCTGGGGAATTCTGGGAGTTGAAGTCCACGCGTCTTAAAGCTGCCGAGGTTGAGAAACACTGCCCTAACGTAACAAAATTAGGCTGAATCCCCCAGGTTTGCACTCTTTTAAAAATAAATATTTAATAAATAAATAAATAAACAAGCACGCCAAACAGAGGTCCTTGTACAGCTACGACTCTCACCAGCGCGGCGTTAATCCGATGTCGCCTGGTTTGCCTCGGATACGGAGTCTAAAAATGGGCTTTTTCCTAAACCAGTTTGCTGATGTCTTAGGACGGCCGACGCTTCCCAAGGCTTTTTCGGCCGGAGTGGTTTGCCCCTCTCTTTCTCCCCGTCCTAGTCATCTTTTCCCCCCCCGTCCCCGGGAAGGGGGCCCGCGGAGCGTCCCTCTGCATTCCCCCAGCCGCCAAGGGTGAGAAACACTGTTTTAGGGGGTGATCCCGTAAGCTCAGGCAGGGACTACGGGGAATTTATTTCAGCAAAAGCAACAAGGGACAGAGGCTGGACCGTAGAAGAACGAGCTGCGTGAGACGAGTGGTGGGGCGGGGGGGCTTGTCTGGGCCAACAGGGCTTCCTGTGGTCTGCTGGTCTCCTGATCCTCCTCGTCTTCATGCCTTTGTAGCCCGTGCTGCCCCACACGGCTGTGTGCTTGGTGTGTGGCGAAGCAGGGAAAGAAGACACGGTGGAGGAGGAGGAAGGCAAGTTTAATCTCATGCTCATGGAGTGCTCCATCTGCAATGAAATCATCCACCCGGGCTGCCTTAAGGTGAGGGCCAAACGCTTCCATGACATACACGTAGCAGGTCTAGTCGCGGGCGAGACGAGAGAGCCAGTTTGGGGTCGTGCTGGAGGCCCCGGGCTCGAAAGCGGGAGACGGCGAGTTCCAGCCCCGCCTTAGGCCTGAAAGCCGGCTGGGGGACTTGAGGCCAGCCCCTCTCTCTCAACCCAGCCCACCTCGCAGGGTGGTGGTTGTGGGGAAAACAGGAGGAGGAAGGGGGACGAGGCACGTCCGCCGCCTTAAAAATAATAATGGGATAAACTAAAAAAAAAAAAAGTTATGCAGCCCCGTCTGGGCAACTGGAGGCGCTCCCAAACCTTCTGGTTATTTTTTCCTTCCCCCTGCCTGTCTCCCTTAGGTGCGGGAATCGGACGGCGTGGTGAACGAGGAGCTGCCGAACTGTTGGGAGTGCCCTAAGTGCAACCATGCTGGGAAAACTGGGAAAGTGAGTTTTATTGGAATGATTTGCTTGCCTGGAAAAGGAAACAAACGTCTTTTTGGGTGTTTTTCCTGCTGAGTCTTTGCGGGCCCCAAAGATGGCTTCTTACCTATATGCAGTTGCGCGGGCGGGAGGGCTCCCCACACAGATCTCTAACCAAACGGCCCTGGCGCCAGTGGTGTTCCTCTGAAATTAAATTAGGAAATCATTTTTTTTTTAATTAAGCAGGGTTAACATCTTGTCTCAAGAGATCTTGGGACTTCCACTTGAAGTCTGACAAAGAGATTCCGAGGGAAGGGCCAGCGTCTTTTGAGACTCATCTCCAGGGATCTCAAACCTATTTTTGTTCTATTTTGCCTGCCCCAAAGCTCAGCTGAGCAACGTCATGGATCAGCAGTGATCGCTGCATTGCTGGTGGACCTTCAAGGTTCCCTCCTGTAATGTATGAATAGGCCCTCCCGACCCAATTTGGGGAGGAACAGAGTTGGGATGTCTGGAGCCCTTTGCTGTGAAAAAGGCATAAGATATAAAGTTTGGTTGTGTGTTTTGTCTCTTTCTGGCGTACAAGCAAAAGCGGGGACCTGGGTTCAAATATGCATCTAACCTCCCAGGCTCTTTGCTAAAAGAGCAGAAGATCAACCGAGAGAACAAGGAAATCCTCCCGGAGATCGCCAAGCGGAAAGTCGAGTGCGAGGAATCCCCCCGCAAGAAATCCGACGAGCGTCCGCCCAAGCCCCCCCTGGATCCTCTTTTGAGGAGGAAGTCAGAAGAAGCCCACCTGCGCCGGAAGCGGAAATTTGAAAAACCCCAAGAGCCTGCGATGAGGAAGCGGGTAAGGCCAGGGAATCTTCTGCCTTCGGCCCTTGGTTCCGGATGCAGGAGAAGGCTCCTCTTTAGGGGAGGTGTAGAAGGCAAAAGGAGCGGGGGGAATGAGGAGCTGGGGCCCCAGGTGAAAAACGACCCCTCTCCTGTCCTTGCCTATAAGCCATCATAGGGCACTTTCCTCCAACCTGGTCGCATCCAGATGTGCAGAGATTACAAATCCCCAAATTCCGAGCCACCGATTCTGGAAGGTGCCAGGTTGAAGAAGGTCTGAAACGGATGTTCCTTAACCACACAGCCACCTATAGCAGCGTTTCTCAGCCTCCGCAACTTTGAGACGGGTGGACTTCAACTCCCAGAATTCCCCAGCCAGCATGAGGAATTCTGGGAGTTGAAGTCCACCCATCTTAAAGTTGCGGAGGTTGAGAAACACTGATCTGTAGGCTTCAAAGATGAAGTCTTTTTTTGTGGCCCAGATGGTGGTGTTGAGATGAAACAGCATGGTTTCCACCAGCTTTCAGCAGAAAACATCCTGAGTTATTGCCCATTCTGTTTTCCGTCTCAGCCACCAGGTGGTGCTTAAGGTCCTTCTGTTCTCTTCCTTTTCCTTTTATGTAGCCATTTACCCCTCAAAACGTTTGGGTTCCACCCAGGGCATGCAAGTAGGACTAGCCGAGATGCATGATGCCAGCTGGCAGACGTTCTTTACCAGAACAGCTACGGTGGGAAATGGTGCTCTTACACTGGATCGGGGGAACTACAGCTCCCAACATCCCTCAGTGTCTGGGGCTAGGGCTGCTGGGAGCTGTAGTTCATCAACTTGGCTGGATTGCAGGTTCCTCTGAAGAACTCTGCCCATATTGCTGCCTCCTTTGTAAGCCGTTTCCAGTCCCTGTGACTCTTTCATTCTACCCTCTTAATGGCTTATCTATTACCGTCTATCCAAAGCTGGACTAATCTATAGAATATGTAAATATAATAAATATAAATAAATAAATAAGCTGCCAGAAATTGCAAGGTGGGGAGCCTATCATTCCAAAGGATCAGAGCCTCCATTTTCTGGACATAAGGCGCGTGTAGAATAGCACAGAGAGGGGCATAATTAAAAAATAAAACTTGCCTGATGTTAGCAGGTGATCGTTTCAGACAAACTGTCCTGCTGTTTTTATGTGCTGATGGGGTTGGGTCCCCATCGTGCTGCACCCTGGGAAACCCCTTGAACTGGGACTCGGCTCACCCGGCGGTGAAGGCCGGGATCCCTCGGCAGCCACCTTCCTGGTGTGGGCTCTGTGGGACCCACGGCTGCTCCTGGAATGATTTCCTAGCATGTTATTTGCACGGGTTGTCCTTTTCTTTTAAAGGCGTCTGTGCTACAGATGTCCCAGGGCGGGTGGTGTCCAGGGTCTGGCAGGGGATGATGGGGATTGCGGTCCAACATGCTGGGACACCATCGGGTGGGGGAAGAGTGACCTCCAATAGGTAAAATTATTTTTTCCCTCTTCCTTCCCTCTCTGACTGTAGCTAAAACTGGGCAAAGAAGAGAAGCTGTTCAGGAAAAAGGTACTTGGTTCATTTGTGTGGATTTCTCCCGCCCCCGAACTTCCCCAGGGATGTGTCACTATAATATTGGGCTGGTGCAACACGCTAAGCCATTGTGTGTCTTTTGTGGTCTGGAGTGACAAGCAGACCCAGCCGTGGTGGTTTGTGCACCATGGTTTATGGCTTAATGGATCGAGCGATGCCAGCCCATTGTGCTTCATTTGGCGTTCATGGTTGAGCAAGCCATGGTTTAGCACAGCGCTGTTCAAACTTGGCAACTTGAAGATGGGTGGACTTCAGCTCCCAGAATTCCCCAGCCAGCGTGCATGGACTTCAGCTTCCAGAATTCCCCAGCCAGCG